TTAATAGGAGGTTTTATAGCATTTTTTAACATTCCAAGAATCTTTTTGTCCATTCTTTCAGTATTTGTAACAAATTGCGAATATCCTTTACCAGCACGGGCAACAGACTCAACTAAATGATGAGAAACTGAATCACCAATTCCAATTGAAAAGAATCTTAAATCATCTTTTTTCTTTTCTTCACAAGATTTAATAAGTTCTATAATTTGATCAACATTGTAAACTTGACCATCAGTAAGAAGGAAAACGGAAGTAGGCATATCATTCCTTGAGTTTTCAAAGGCCCATTTTAGAGGATTATAAATTACAGTTCCTCCGTAATTTGCAGTCATTTCTTGTGCATGTTTGAGAGCTTTTGAGAAACTTGCTTCAGAATAAGGTTGACTCTTTTCAAATAAAGAATCAAAGCGTGATCCGAATGACACTACATTAAATAAACAATCTTCGGGTAATGAACGAAGAAGTAATTGGAGTGCCTCAGATGCTTTCTTAATAGGTCCACCACCCATTGAACCAGACCTATTATCATAGCATTTATTAGTATAATAGTGTGCTAATGTTTATTGTTATCTGTTATATTTTTGAACATTACCTATCAATCACAAAAATTAATTCAGACATTATTTCATTAATAGCAAACTTTGGTACTAAAGTTAGCATAACGCAATTAGTTTCTGTCTTAGGGTCATATTCAATAAAGGCCCTAGAGTGATGGAAAAAAAGATAATTACAGTAATTGAGAAATATATAATATCAGATTAAAAGTATAATTAAAAGGATCATTACCTTGGTTTATCGAGATCAAGACTTTTGACAACAAGTATAAAATCTTTTTCTAAATAAGTAATTTGTTCGGCTAGAGTAATCTTTGAAACATTCGGATTACCATCAATATTTAATTCAGTCGAAATATGATGAGATGGTGATTCGATGTTTTGAATTATAGAAGTCATTCTACATGTAATATTAAGATCTAAATAATAGTCAGTCTTTCCTGAATAAGATACTTCATCAGGAATAAGTTTTTTCCCATCATTTGCAGGAGAATAACCCGATGAACCGTATCGTGGAGCAATGGCAGTAGGAAAAACAAATCGAATTTTTTCAGATTCAGCATCATGTTTAAGTTCGGTTACGTATGTGATTTTAATAACAACGGTTTGACCAGTAGTGATATTGCCAACGGAGCATTGGAAAATATCCGGGAGTTGTTCTTCCAAGAGATAAGCCCCATGACCTTGCTATTATGTAAATATTATGCGTAAGCAAACTATGCACATACGTACGTACAATTATTTATTTATAAATTTATAGTTATCTCATGTTACCTGTATAGCCTCGTCATATTCCTGCGCTGCCTGTTTTGCTTCTTTGACTATTCCTTTAACTTTTTTCTTTCCATCAATTTCAGCTTCAAATGCACATACTGCTGCAGCTTCATGAAGTGGGAATTTATAAATGGCTTCAATTGTATCCTTTTCAACATTTTTATATGTCTGACAAACCGTTGCTAAAATTATACGAGCAAAGATATGAGTTGCATTAAACATGATTAAAACTATAATAATATTTAAATATGTAAATTAATTTACTTTCTGCTATCATATCAACGACTAATTAAAATTTAAAAAGAACATTAGCGACATAAAAAAATATATTATACGCAGTAAATTGTATATGTAAAAAGAAACTTTACTGTCCGTCTCAACAGAAACATTTTGCAAAGGAACAGACTTTAGATAACCCTTGGCAATGAAGGTGAGCCCATATAGATGCATTCTTTTATAATACGTATACAAGATTGGTTTAAAAAGGTTGTAAAAACGTTAAGGATGAATTCAGGCCACTTTATAACAAATTAAGCTTGCTGCGTATACTGCGTATAAAGATTACGTATCTGGTATGTACGTACGTACGTACGTACGTTGTAACTATTAATAGATAATTTATGTAACTAATCTACTAATGCTTATTTATTACTTTTATTAAGATCGATTTATTGTTCGCGAAAAAGATTTTAGCAGTGTTGTTATGAGGAAACGATGTTTAACGTATAAGAAAATCGGGTCATTATTAATATAATAGAACTACAAATATTATTGTCCGGAGGACTCATTTCTATGCACTTTGATGCCAGTAATTAAAATTTTGATGCATTTATAATAAAAAGGTCAAAAAAGTAGTTTTTGCATTTTCCGTCTATAACTATATTTGTACATTGTGTACAAAAATAATACTAACGTTATACTGTTAGCGTTATTTAAGTAAATTATTATGAGACATTAAAGGGATATCTTTTTTTTTATCGCCATAGAGATGTATCGCTACTCCCTGAGACTTAGTTGTCGCATCATGTGATGTCGGGGTTTCAATATTCAAACTCCGTTTATGATTACTTGTACTTGCTTCTTCTTGTATGGATCCTGCCCAGGTTCAGTAGTTGCCATTTGCGGAAGGTGATTTTACATCATTCTTCACCTGTCTTTAAATCTCAATTTAGCACTTCGTGCTGATCTCCACATGTCTCCATTTGCTGCGTTCTGCTAGTGATCCCGCCACTTACCAGGCCCTGTGAGGCGTCTGTGTTCCTGCTTAGCTATCCTTTCGATTCGTTGACTGCACGTACGTACGTCAAACCCCGACATCACATGATGCGACAATTAAGTTTCAGGATTTTGATTTTCGGAATTTTGATTTTCGGGATTTTGATTTATTTAGACCCGGGTAGCGATACATCGCTATAGCGATAAATTATAAAACCCTTATTTTTTTTTGTTTCATTAGTTCGAGACTCTTTCCGATAGTCACTAACTCTTTTCGTTAATTAGTGACTTTTTCATTTGTCGTATCGGTATGTTAACCACATCTGCCATTTTTGCCATATCTACTATATCTGGCAGATTTGATTGATTTTGGTTAGATCGACCCGAACCACTTCGACATCGACCTTGACGAAATTTCTCTCTCACAACGTACGAAATATCATGCAGAAATGCCATGCACGAACAGCATTGGCTCGCATTTAATTATAACTCTATAATTAAATTCAAACAATGTTGGGCAACCCCATTAATTTCATTTGTGTATGCATAATAGTTGACAAAGTATCATGGTCAATTATGGTCAAATAATTTAACTCACACTAAACTTATGCGCTTATGCGTTATATGCTATGTGATAAATTTAAGGCAGTGTAAAAAGAGTAATATATAGAGAAGTATAGTAGGAAAAATAAAAAATAGTAGCGTATTATAACCTATTATTCTTGCTCGGTTCAATTATTTATTCGAAGGAAATATACTATGGGAGTAGTGCCATGCTGCGGCTCTACCGA